TGCTACCGATCCGATCCTCTTATTTTTCAAGATAGAACATAGTTCGGATGATTTTTCAAAAATTGTAGTTTTTCTCTGAAACTACTGGCAGTTTTCGATTAAAATATAATTCTAAAAATTTACGATATTATTGTTGAGCATAGAGATAAGGTTATAACACTAATACAGAATTGACAAATGTCAAAATTCAAGCCGTGCGTTAATATCTCCAAAAACATCCGAATGCTCCCAAACTCGAGAGGTGATATCTCGAAAATGTCCAAAGTGGCTCGAATCCGTGAGAAACGAAACTGACGTGGTAAAATGACACTTTCTGACCGCTAGATGGGTAGATAATTAGGTATTTTACAGAAGGAAAGCCTCTGAATTTTGCACACTTAACTCGTTTTGAGACAATACTGATATAAAAATGCCAGATCCAAACTGAAAACTATAGAATTGATGAACTATTAGCGACAATGTTATTTATTGAACGGCCCTCAGTGTCAGATGCAATAATAACATTAAATGACCGGATTCTAGGTATTATTGCTTGTGCACGACTTTGCACGCGTCTTTTAAAATGTCCACCGAAGAGCGCAATTTATTGCTCGTTGGGACAAAAATAATTCATTGAAGGAGCAATTAGGAACATTGCAAATAATCTCAGAACTAGTAAAAAAACACAAATAAACATTAGTGTTCCAAAGTATATTGATTTCCTTCAAGAATACCTAGTTCGCCAAAACCTTTATGCCCACTTTATCGGGATACTGATGGTGGTATTAAATATTCTACGCAACTGTGTGACATACTCTACGTCGTTTATTCAAATTGATTACCAGTCAACGGTCCTATGATATTAACATTTCAGTAGACACAACTTTACTAATTTTGGGTCCTACGAATATTACATGGGTTCAGATAGTCAAGTCATGTGAAAAATATCCACATAAAATAAAAAAAATTAAAAAAAAGTGTCCGCTGCATATAGTGGGTATAGTAAGAGTCTAATCAATGCTCCACCATTATTAGGTTAATTTTTTATCTTATATTTTCAGTGTGGAATTTTTGTGTGTTGACCCCGACCCTCGTGAATTTGATAGCAATTTAATAGTGTGCTGAGCCTAGACGAAGAGGATGTACAATGTATAAAGTTTGACCAGAGTTTTGCCGCTGAGTAAGCACAGACATTCACGAAGAAGAGCAGGTAACCCAAATCATAAACTGATATCGTTTAGATTAAAAAAAAAACGATTGATTATTATAAATAGCACTGCCGGGACAATTCTTCAAAATTTAATATTTGCGAGAAAGAAGGCGTAAATCGCCATCGATCCTTTGGAAATGAAATGTCAGCGTCAAGCGTCATTTATATTTACATTACAAAACGTTTTGTTTGTTTGTTGTTTGACTGCTTATTCACGAGAAAAGAGACAAGTCTCCTCCATACTAATTTAATGTAAAATTCCTTTTTTAAAAAAAGACGGAAATACGCCAGAACGCCTTTCGAGTACTCAAGTGCTCATCTTCAACTAACTCCTTACATATTTCGAGGTATCAAACTAACCAAAACTCGCTCACTTTTAATGTAGAACATAAAATTAGCATCCCACCCCGAGCAAACCGTAAACTAATTTGAAGTAAGGTTTATACCTTCTTGAGCCAGAAGCAATGGCTTGAACGGAAATTATAGTAAATTGGAAGGGGCTTCGTGTTTCCGTCATACTATATACTATATTACAAGTAAGTTTAACTTTTAGGATTCCGGTTTACCGCTTCGTTAGCTCCCTTGACAGTCGGGATATGTTACTTTAGGCGTCAGCTGAAGATGAGCACTTGAGTGCTCGAAACATGTATTGATGTAATGACGCATTTTCATAAAAAATAATTTTACATTAAATTAACTTAGTGCAAAAGAGGACCAAGGTGTTTTTTTTCTCTTGATAGATATACAGGGAGTCTCACCGGTGGGGGGCGGGGAGGTTTAAATCGCGCTAATTTAATTTTCAACATGGCGGCACATCGGGATATACTGGAAGTAGGCATCAAAATTCTTATTTTAAATGGAACATATTATATATCATTGCATTTTTGGATTACAATTAAAAAAAAAAATAACGGCATTATAACGAGAACTATAAATATTAGGAATATATAACCTAAATCGAAGTAGTTCGCATTTTTGATTCTAAATAAGACAGTATTATCAAAAAACGATTTTCGCAAGTTTTTTGAATTTATTCTTAATCGTTATTTTTTTTCAACATCGTGAATGAGTTTTAATCGAAATTAATAACTAAATTTGTTCAAGAGACCATTTTCTGCAGAGAAAGTTAAAGAGTTTAGTTTACTTCCAAATTTTTCAAATTTTTGCTGCTTTTTCCCGTAACAGACCGACAAAATTCCCCCTGTATAAAAATTTCGTTATTACTAAAAATTTGTACTACAGCGGTTGAATAAGCACTTCTATTTTTAAATAGGTATAGGGTTTGAAGGATGGGTTTTAATTGCTGTCAAAAATATTCAAATGTTTTTGTTTTTGTTGATAGTGTGGTGAACTTTCAATTCTAATCGTGAAACATTGCCCCAATGAACGAAATATTATTAACAACCAGAAAGAGGTCAGAAAATATGAATTTTCAAACTCAATTTTCCTTTCGCTAAAGTTTACACAAAAACTGTTTTTAATACTTTGTGATTTATTTTAACTTTTCCAATATTTACCCTTCTTTCTGTCTAAAACTATTGCTATAACTTTAGTTGGCTGTGGTAAAATGGCAATGTCAAACTTTTACCTGACCACTAAGTTAATAAATTCATAAAATTAGAACGTAATCTGCGTTTCGAAATTTTGTCCAAACTCTGTACCTTTTCCTAATTTGGCATTACAAAAATCGATGGATAGCAAAGGGAAATCGGCTCGAAACAGTCGGATTGATAGAAGAAATAGAAATAGAACAGTTGAGACTCTTTTCTTCTTTTAATTTACCCTCTATTGGTTTAAAGGACTCCAGCATGTAACTGAATTCCAGCCTAAAGAAACATTTGGAAACAAATACTTTTAAAAAATGTACTTAATAAATATTGTCTTGCTTAACTTGCATATGGTAGTGGTAGTTATACAAGTAAAATAGAAGTAGATCACGTTTTGGACAATGAAATGTGAGAAATGCATTACCGTTAATCCAAATGTCATAAAGGTTGTTTAATTTCTGGCACCGGTCGTAACCATGATACGTGTTTGTGGTATTTCATGGTATATTGCAAACAGCTCCCTTCCCTCTTTACAATAACTACTAAGATTCATTTTAGCATATAAACTCTCTATTCTAGCACAATAAATTTTCAGATAGTACGTTTATAACCTATAGAATATTACAGTGATTCATACCAAAATTATTTAAAAAAGCAAATCTCATAAAAAAACAAATTTCCTTGACTCACAGATCATCTTAAAGGCACCTAGATTTTTTATTAATAGTTATTAATCATTTATTAATGATACCGAATGCATTAATTGTTATAATATCAAAAACCTTAGTTTGGTAAGTGCAAATGCTATTGATCAAATTCGCGCCCATTTTTACATTAACTTATAAATCTTATAATTAATTTTATAAAGCAAAACGTAACGATTTTTTGATATGTTTCTGAATGTTTGGTTCCTACAAATATAATAGCAACTTGCTCTTTACCCTAAACAATTATAAATAACAAACTTTAACAATTGCACTGTAAACTTATCAGTCACATATTTGTTTGTTGTATCGTGACTCTGATGAAGAAGGGTAAATATTGGAAAAGTTAAAATAAATCGGTACTTAATAAAAGTTGTAGATTTTTGTAAGATCTTTCGGAAAAAAAAATCTATACGGTGTGCCATTTAAGAAAATCGAGATTTTCAATTTAAAATGATCCAAATATATTCGTTTATTTTGAACACCATTTAACATCTAATTCAAATTTCGTTGCCCATAACTTTTGCGTCATCTTCGCTAATAACGCTAAAACCAAATATGAGTGTCTAACCAACTGACCAAAACTATGTGGTGTAGATTTGTCTTATTATCAATAAAAAAGTTCAAGAATTTGAAATTGAAATCCAACATTTAGAAATTGGATGTTCCATTTAAAGAAATGTGTGATTTATTGATCGCGCTTTTTCGAGCCACCTTGTATATTATAAAATAATTTTAAATCGTACATGTTAACAATAATTACAACTTTTGTATTTCCTTATAACTTTACTAACTTTACTCTATCGTTGACTCATCCTGTATAGACAATTTATTCCATCTCTATTGCAAGAATTCTAATTTAAACGATGGAAAATGTTTGTTCTATTCTTGAAACCCAATAAATATTCCGGATGTGTCTATATTTTCATTATTTTCATTCATTTTTTTGTAATGCGTCTTGACAATCTACTTACTCTATACTTATTGTATATATATATATATATATATATATATATATATATATATATATATATATATATATATATATATATATATATATATATATATATATATATATATATATATATATATATATATATATATATATATATATATATATATATATATATATATATATATATATATATGTATATATACATATATATATGTATATATATATATATATATATATATATATATATATATATATATATATATATATATATATATATATATATATATATATATATATATATATATATATATATATATATATATATATATATATCCAATTAGGGAATGCACAACTTTTATTTTTATTTTTGTTTCAAAATCATGAAAAATAAAAAATATTTAGTTTCCGCAATACCCTTCAAAAACCATTTTTTAATTAGAAACTAGACTCCCGCCGAGTTAATAGTTTTGGAGTCATGCATAACTTTTTCCGACTTCTTTTTGTAAATCAGTGAATTTTAAATCTAGTTAATTAAGAAAATATTTTTAAAATTGCACATTCATTCACAACAACTTTTTGAAATGTCTAAACAAACAGTTTCTTACCTTTAATAAAATAATTCACAGCAAACCGCGGCGTTTAACGACAAAATTTGTGAAAGAAATTTCCCCGATACGAAAGGAAAGCTTTCGAAAAAACGCGAACTGCGAACTCCGCTACGCTTAGCCGTCTTCAAATTGGGGCGAAAGCGAAAACCAGAGTGAATGATGTAGAAGCAGTGCCCTTCCAATTTCAGTTAAGTTTAAAACGTTGCCAAATTCACCAAAACTTCCTACAGAGTTAATAATTCATTTTCTAAATTTATTATATTTATATATTAATGCGGTATTAAAAAGACTTCTTAAATAATTCATTTTGAATTTAATTTAGGCATTTCATTTAATTACAATTTTATGTTTCATTATTTTTCGAGACTTCCTTCGTTATCTTGGTTATTATTTGAGACACATGGTTGCAATCTTACTTCCTCGTGAAACAGACGAAACCACTAAAAAAATGGTTTTTTTTTAATGGGCGCTCCAAGAGTTCGCTCGAATTAGTGTAGTGTAACTGTCAGAAAAGAGTTGTCAATCAATATTTGTGATAAAAAAAGAAAAATCTTTTAGTATTGTTAATATAGGACTACAAATATAATTTAATAATAATTGTAATATCCGAATTATTCAAGGCAGCTTGTGGGGTTGTCAATAACTGGATAAAGTTAAACCTTTTTTTACAAAGTTCTATTTTGAATGCGACTTTATTTAAATATTATTATTTTGGTTTTATTAAAACGTGTACCTAGAGCAAGTTAGATAAAAAAAAACAAATCATTTCTACAAGGAATTTTAAAAGTTGCTGGCAAAACTTCACGAGTCAGAGTTTCCTAATTATCTACGTCTCCGTTCCCATTATACTGATTTATGAATAATAACGTTTTCATAAGCTTTGTCGATCTTGAGAACGATAATATTTGCACTATTTGGATGTTACCACTTGTGCAAAACAATAATCCCATTTATATGTATGTTATGCATTTTCCTCCAACTTATATGGCTTGCAAAGGATTGCAGTTTTACAAGTTCTATTCAAAACAATATTTAGTTTTCCAAGATTTATCGGCTGTCAAGATATTTAAAAATTTTTAAAATGCGCCTAGCTGCCTATACATTAACTGTTGCACAAACAAGTACAAAGTTACAAAAGTTTAAAAAAATTTTATTCTTTATAAAATGTTATAAAAATACTTTTTGTCAAATAAAGGCAACACCTTTTTTACGATTCTAAGTATATAGCACATATTAGGGTTATTTTTAAAAAATAAAGTTTTAATTGGCTTTTTTTTCTAATTTAAGTTTTAGCCTAACGGTGTTCAATTAGTTGGCTATGCGAAAAGATTTTTATATAAAATAAAACGTTGCCAGTTGCTCACCACGCTTACTTATTTCAAAATATTTTTTCTTGTTACAATAGGGTCTTCCAATTTAGAGAAACGCGATATTGAGGTTCAATAAAAATGCGGTAAGATCTGCTGACGATTACGTCAACAGATATTTTGACCGTCGTCGTCAGCCAATTTTCAACTAGTTAGAAACTAGCTAAATGAAATATTTCGCAATGGTTGGATAGGAAGAAACGTCCCTCTTTTATGGCCTCTGAGCTGGACGTAAGCTGCTGTAAATGAAGCACTTAATACTATTAGTGGGCGATCTGTAAAAAAGGCAAGGCAATGTTAAAAAGATATAGTGCTTGTAAAAACTATATAAATTATTGTCTTCAAATAACTACAATTTCTTTTTTAATATACGGATGTCAGCAAGTAGCTGCATTGTACACGTACATAGTATAAATAAACCAAGCCACAACCAAAACACAGCAATTCAAAAATCAAAAAAAAAAAATAGTGGAAAATTACTTTGACTAAAAGGAAGTGTATAAAGTAACATGAACAAACAAACAATTCTCTATTAAGGTCAAATCACTTCTGCTGGATGGGGCCTATTACTCATTTGATGACTTTTTACCAATTTTAATAATGTTTAGCGTTTTCTGTGTTGTGTGGCGGTGCCTTTGTTTTTTGCGGACTTGCGTAAAACCGAAGGGTTGTTAACATCAATAAATTATTATTATTATTATAACATACAAAAAAATATATTTGATGCACATGCATGTGTAGCTGTCAAAGTGAGACAATTTTTGCATATAATCTACCGGAAGTACAAAGAACAAGTACATCAAAAGATTTATAATTTTTTTTTATTCTTTGTTTTCAAAATTAAAATACACAATACAATAAAGGTAAATCGTTTTGTATTTATATTTGATTGTCAACAACGACATTATACATAAAAACTTAAAAAATGTCAAATTTGCCTTATTCCTTTAATAATCATGGTCTCCTTCTTTTTATATTACATAACTGTCTTCTTATGGAGTTCCTAAAAACGTCGGATAGTCAGAATATCTATTTATTTTTTTTATTATCTGTTGTTGTAAAGTTTGTTCAAAAATTAAAGATTCACGAAAAATTCAAAAACTTTCTAAAGCCTATCTCATCAGAAAATTTTAAATTGATAGGAGAGGTGCAGATGACCGCATTGCATTTGCTGAAAGCGAGAAGTTGTTATACTGCAAATGTTACAATTAGGCATTGAATTTTGAATTTGTTATCGATTATTTTGAAAGAAATGAATACTTTCGCTCGCAGTTCGGTTGAACAACTTTTGATAAGGAAATATAAAATCGACACAGAACAACGAAACGCTAAAGAAAATGTGAAAAAATGAAGAGAAACAAACTGATCCGAATAAAAAGCAAAAGTATTGAACATTTTACTACCTTTAAAATATCGCGTCGGTTATCGTTAAATCGAACTTGCTGACATTTCGCCAATCAGCCTGTGTTCGATTTCGTAATTGTGTCCGGCAACTGCTAATGAGTTTATTTGTCTTAGTCTTAAGGCTCTTTCATTTTCTTTGACCCTAATTGATATTTTTTGTCCAGTCTTTCCAGTGTATTCCTAGCCGCGTATGCATGGAATTCTGTAAACTCAAATGGAATTTTATAAATGGTATTACAGTAGCCTGTGCAAGCTTCGTTAGTTTGTTTTGTAGATCAGCTGATAAACTTTATTAAGGTCTTCGCTTTACTGGAGTATTTGGTAGTAATTAGACTAATAATAATGGTATTGTTAATAAAAATACATATTTTTATAACCTACCCTTTTTCTAACAATTCTGGTGAAAGATTGTCATATAGGAGCAGCAGATTGCTTTTGAAATATGAGTTTCAAAGTCAGGTATCGAATATAGTTACATCACCTGTGCCGTTAAGAATATCGTCATGGGGCTGCAAAATCTGGCTGAAGTGCAGCGAGAGTGAGGCAACTTCTGTAAAATTCTATATAAATGTCAACCAGTTCAAGATGGAAATAAGCCATGAAACCAATATTTTGTACAAATTAACCGTCCTTCCGATATAATTTTCTTGTTCTACGCATTCGAATGCTTTTAATATTTATTGAATTTTCCAATAAATTTTGCTCTCGATTGATCAATCAACTTTCCAGACGAGTAGTGACTGTCTATTTGTGATCTGCGATCTACTTGGCGGCGGTTATTCATTTCTGAATGTAGTATAGGTTTAGAATAAGAAATATTTTTTCTTTGACTATTTCCCCCGTAGCTATCAATTTTTTTACCAATCTCGATATCCGTGTTGAATATCGATATGTATTGCCTTAATAATGTCAAAAAATTCTTTTGAGGGAAGATAATATTTCTGGAACCGGTTTTTTTGATTCGTTAATCTCAATAATTGCAAATGTTCTATATTGTACGGTATTCTCTTGTCTGCCAATCTACCGTCATAATGGTTTAGTGACTTTCATTATTTTTGCCTTGTTCTATTTGTAATTTTCTGTCACTTCATCAATATCAGTTGTAATGATAATAACGACCATCCACCAACATCAACTGCTTTTGCCTTTAAAATTGTGTATTTGCTCCAACCCGCTTAACACCTTGAGTTTTCGGCAATATAACAGAACAGATAATTAAAAACTAGGAACGCCCAACGACATAACCGCAGCATTTACATATGCCTTTAGTGACTCTGCAAGTCACTATAGTGACTCGTCCTGACACATTACACCATTTAGATCAACGGGACATAGCAACTAGTATCCAAGATAACAATGACTGCAACAGTTACCCAGCAACAAGAAAAGAATAGGCATTTATTTTATTTTAAAAGTGACATCCTATCTCCAAACTTTCACTCTGATCTTAAAAACAATTTTTTGTTATCGCACACAAAATAAAACCATGTCTTAACGTTAGTAGGTTGTTCGCTAGCCTTATTGAAGCCTAACTATAGTTAGAGAAAGAAAACTAAAGAAGAGTAAGGAATACACAACAATCGTGTATAGGGATTGGTTATTAGGAAACCCTGGCCGCACACAGATATTTGAGAGATGTCATTCCATATTAGATATACCAAACGAAAGCTTATGAAAGTCTTTAATGTCAAGTATATTATTCAAAACTGGTACGCCTTAAGCGGAGCATACCACGAAATGTCGCCCATTTTTTTCACAAAAGTACATTGACTGACCTATTAAAAGTTGTATAAAAATAACAAGAAGGAACCTTTCTAAATTGGCTATATGGCCATAAAAGATGATAATCTGCCATAACCAATTCTGAGATATTTCGCAAATGTCTATGCATATTTGTTATAAATAAATACACAATAACAAAAAAGCTACAGCTTAGCTTATATTATCAAAAATAATGACTAAATCGAATAGCAAAACACTGCAAATGCTGCAACAAGAACATCATAGTCCACAGTCCCTTTTCAATTAAATAATGCGGAGAGAGAATAATACTAAAATAAATAACACCCTGTACATTTCGAGCCATTAATTTAATAAGTTCTGTCGCAGAATGCTAGGAGTCAAGCGCCTGTACCTAGAGGCAGGGGTGTATTTTGGTATCAAGAGGCCAAGACCATTTTAAACACTTTTATGTAATGTACAACAAGCTTCTCTCTGCTATTCGAAATATAAGAATGTTAACATTTAATTGAAGTTGTCTGAAAAAGGAAAATAAAGAAATTTTGGTTTCTCAAAGAACGCCATTATAGGTATTAGAAAATA